TTTCTATTACAAATTTAATTCGTTTGTGAAAAAAAGCAAATCATTTAAAGCATTATTGCATCCAGTACAGACGTTGTCCTTTTTTCTCTATTTTGTGAAGTGAAATGTACGCACCGCTAACGAGAAGGCTGTTCAATAGGAAGCTGATCACCAATATTTAGACGTTCCGTTTGTGATCGTTTTGCTGGTCTTCTACCACATTGACGTGTAGTGAACTTTTTGTGTTTTATCCCTTCAGCTATCATCGTTTCGGTAAAGGGCATAATATGTTGTTGAAATTGTGTGAATATAATCCGGGCGTTAACAACACCTGACATACAAATATTGAAAAAGACCTTTTTCCACTGTTTTCGCGACTTGCGATTCATGTTGTATATTGCAGCCTTCTGATCTGCCCAATCTACGCCTCCCATTATGCCATTGTAGTCTGAAATAGCTACTAGACCATCAGCTTATAATTTGGCACCATATTTTTGTCTTCGGATACCTTTAGTTACATTAGGCATATGAGAGTTAGAAACAAGTAGGACTTCTTTGGAATCCATCCATCGTGTGCCCATTACACCATCGTAATTTATTCTGAATTGACTTTCTGTACATTCTAGGCGTCCACTAAATACAGGACCTGGGGACCTAATGGTTGATCCTCACTCCTATGCAACGAATTTCATTTATTACCTATAACTTGACCGTTAACGTCATCCAGCTCCGATTCGGAAGAAGATTCATGCATGGCCTCTGATTTCCTTATATTTAGATTTTGCTACAAGAACTTCCTCATCTTCGTCATTATCATCCGATGGTTCATAGCTAGATTCTGAAGCACTGAAGTCATCGGCTATGTCATCGCTCTTGCCTTCTAAAAAATAATGCGCAACTTCGTGCTCTTCCAATTTCTTCCTTCTAGACATCTTAAGTTATAAACAAATATTGGGATGTTATTATCCCAATCAAAAGTATTATTGGGATGATATGTCCCAATGTAGTTACAAATGTAAAAACTTACGTTTTTCACCACAATTAAATTCCAATTTCGAAACAATAATCTTTATTCACACTTAATTATGGAAGCACGTGGAATATGACAAAAAAAA